AGAGCCGAAACAGACTCGTGTCTGAAATCGAGACCTCTTTAGGGAGAATCTCTGATTGGGGTGGGCTTAATTTGGTCCAGTTTAACCCCACTAAGACACAAGTCTGCGTGTTTACCGCTAAGAAACTGCCGTTGGTCGTCTCTCCTCATTTTCAAAGCACCCCCCTAACTGCTCAGCCGGTATTGGAATACTTGGTGTCAACATTTCGAGCGACGTCCAGTTTTGCGGTCATTTAGAGGATAAGGCCAATTAGCCTCGAGGAAGCTTGGTGTGCTCAATAGATCGAGGCAGTATTTCACCCCGGCCACCGCTGCTTCTATATAAGGCACAGGTGCGGCCCCACATGGAATACTGTTCTCATCTTTGGGCGGGGGCACCCCAGTACAGCTTCTTCCTCTGGACCGCATTCAGCGGCGTGCCGTTCGGATTGTTGGATGTCCGGGTGTTTCAAACCGGCTCGACATTGGCAATGCGTAGAGATGTAGCTTCATTGTGCATTTTCTACCGCTTTTACCACGGGGAGTGCTCTGAGGAATTGTTTGACCTGATACCTGCCGCATCTTTTCGCCATCGACCCTCACGACAGCATATGCATCCCCATCAAATAGATGGTTGGCAGGCCACAAACTGTGCGGTTCTCACGTAGCTTCCTGCCTCGCACAGCAAAACTGTGGAATGATCTGTCGTCGGCGGTATTTCCGAACGATACGACCTTCAAACTTCAAGAAAAGAGCGTACTCCTTTTTAAAAGGCCGGCAACGCACTGTGACTCTTCTGGTGTTGCGGGTGTCCATGGGCGGCGCTGATCGCTTACCATCAGGTGATCCGTCTGCTCGTTTGCCTCCAATTCCATAAAAAAAAAAAAAAAAAAAAATGATAGATAGTACTATATTAAAATAATTTTTTTTTTATTTTCATTAACATTTTATTAAAAAACGCTTATTGCTAGTCCGCACGTCAGTTTAGTGCAAAATATTTTGGTCATAGATATAATAAAGAACCGTGATGCCCAATGACCTTTCGTGACGCATAATGCTTACTTGGGTAATCCATCACTTCTCGGATTTGTTTTGTTAGAATTTCATTCTACCCACAAATATTATAGACGGCCTAGCATTTTCAATGAAAGGATATGAAATCAATTTTGAAATATAGTGTATGTAATATTGTAATCAGACTTGTTTTAAACTTGTACGTAACGATCTAGTGTTAGTCAGAAAACAAGCGACTCATCGCAAACAATAGACGCGAGTGCGAAACGTGCGCTTCCGGTACGCGCCGTGCTATTACTACCGAGTAGTCCAGTGCTGCAACTGCTGCAAGCTAATGGCCTGACGTAGGGTGCAGCGTGCGGCGCGTGCTCCTATTGTGGAAAAAATACACATCATATATCAATTTGGATTTTGACTGCCAATAGAATACTGTTGAAAGCAAGCAAGCTCCGCTAGCGTCGGTCACCGGTGACCCCCATGGCGTTTAATGTGTTAAAGACAAATTATTGGACCAATCACTCACACTCACTAAATCACTGGAAAAACAGAAAATTAAATTAAAGATAAGTACATATAAATATATGTCTGTCAGTCCGTCTCCCGTCTCTCCGTCACTCCCCTAGTCAAGTTACTCGATACAAAATGTAGATTTGTATGGAAGAAGACGACTAAGAAATTCCATGGAACAAGAAACTCGACAGGTTTGACCCATGCTGGTGGCCATCAGTAGCATCGCGAAATCGCCGTGTCGTGTGAAACTAATTACTGGAAAAAGAACGTGTTGCGCCTCGAAAGTTGCGACTAACTAGTCAAGTCCTAGTTAGATGTCGAACGAAACATGCGTCGAGTGTGGTTCGGGTGGTTGATTTGCAGAATCTCACAGCATTTACGAGGAGTCACACAACACTGTGTTTCTTGGCGAGTTTTTTAAATAGGACAAGCCAAGTATGGATTTCTGCAAAGTAACGACTTACCTTATTGTATTAATTAAACAGGTTATTTTTTTATACAACTCAGACATTATAATTTTGTTTTACCACAAATAACTTTGTGCCCTCTAGGGGTTTATAGTGCTAATTGTCATGAGCATTACGCGACACGTCGACGCAGTGAATGTCTTGCAACTAACAGTTCAATCATAGGAAAACCGGAGAAGCGAACAATGCTGCATCAGGTAATGTTTTAACGAGAGAGTAAATAACCTCAATGACAATAAAGAGCTGACCAGACTTGATTGACGGCGGTCGTCGGCGCTTGTTTGCGAACTCGACACGTATATTAGCACCGTCTAACTCAATCATGTTGTAGGGATTCAACCGCTTGAATGCACCAATATGAGACACAATAGAAAATACATTGTGTCTCGTGGATCCACGTTTAGACAAATGACGGGTTAAGAGCCTTGAGTGGGAGTGTGAATGTGAATGAGACATTCGAGTGACCAATATTAAACCACAAGAAATTCATTGATATTCATTGGTATTCATTTAATGATATCGCGCACAAAATTTGTATTTATGGGTGCTAGTCTAAACAAAAGATATATTTCTAAATTAACTAAAATCGCGGGTGAATGATGAATATACATGAATATACTGAGAAAAGCTCTACTAGTTTCGAACCACAGAAGGGTTCTTCCTCATTAGCAGTGAGCGCGGCCGCGGCGACGTCGCGCAGCTCACCGTACTTGTCACTTTCTCAGTATATTCACGTGAGTAACCCGCGATTTTAGTTAATTTAGTGTGTCTCACGACGATAGTTATTATTAAAACAGACTTTCTTCTGCCGTTTTTGGACAATGGTATGAAACATTATGGGCCCTAGTCTATCGAACGCGCACATGGCTGATTTTTGTCTTAGTATGGGTAGCTTGTATTGTAAATTACTTAAACGTTATAATGATCATTACAATACACGTCACTTAAAATGTGCGCGCGCGTACCGTGCGCGGCAGGCATTGTCGCACGTCAACGGCGCCGGCGTGAGTGGGACGCAGCCGGGCGGGCGCTGCACCAGCGACCGGTTCGGTTCACGAGTCGCGGCGCTCCGCTTGCCTTTGTTCACATCCGAACACTTTCAGCCATCGCCACCGCGACTGTACACAGTACACTGCTGCTGCTGTACTAGCAGTGTGTGACTAACGGAAATGTTTTCATTGTCACATGCAGTCAAGTAGACGCAGATGTATCAGCTAGGATTCTACCCGGTTAAAAGTAAACAACAACGACAATGAGCAAGTCATAAAAGGTAACTTTAATACCATCGTTGAGGGTCATCCATAAATTATGGAAAGCATCCAGGTGGTTGTGACGTCGGCCAATTTATCGGCAATCACGTTTTATTTATTTAAAAAAAAATAAAGAATTGAGTGGATTGTTTGTACCGTATAGTATAAAGAAATGGTGCTTGCCTACTGTTTTGGATCAAGGACCGCTTTTATATCATTATTTTTACCCGACTGAAGGAAGGCTATTTATTATTTTTTGCTCAAGGACCACTATTACTATTATTTTCTCCAGAGTCCTGAAGTTCTCAAAAATAGAGATTTATGGATTATTAAATTAGTTGTTCCTCTTGGTTTACTCTTTTGGCTTAAGCTTAATTCGATCTTTAGGTAACCGTTGTGTTTATTGGACATAGGTGTTGTCTTTGTTTTCACGTCGCTGACCATATTTTCTAATATTAAAATTATACTAGCTGTGCTTTCGACTTCGCCTGCTGAAATAATAACTTCTGACAGAATTAGGGTATTTGAATCAGTCTTATACTACGACTGTAACTAATGTCATCAGAATCGATTGAGTGCCTAAGATCGACTTAATGTGAAATGAATGAATTATCATGGTTTCAAATAATAAATAATCCCACAGAGATTTTACCAGTACAGTGCCCGTTCCCGTGAGGTATCAGTGATAAAACCTACTCTATCGACTGTTGTTGTACCGAATCTCGTTAAGTTCAGTGGTGTAAGAGATAGAGAGGCCCGGGGCTTTACGCATAGTTCTTGTTCCCGTTAAATTATTTTGTTCGTCTTAATTTATTCGTTCTATTAGGTTAGGTTCAAACTAATACATTTACATCCTCCATCATTCCTTATTTCACCCCCATTGGCATTGATATTATCAAAATCTTGTTTAAGCGGACGCCTTCATCATAGTAGCTTCTATCTTTAATTTCAGTTCAATCAGTCGAAAAATATAAGAAGATTTATATAAACTTTCAACCCCTAATTTATGCCTTTAGAATTTATCAAAATCCTTTCTTAGGGAGATGCCTACTTCATGAGCATGCAACGGTTTAGCCCGAACCATTTAAAATTGACATAGTTCAATTGTTTAGATAAATAAGTAAATTAAAAGATGTGTGATCTGATTAATTTTTATACTTGTTCAAACTCTGTAAACACGAGTATAAACCTAAATCTTGCAACAATATTTTTTTGGTTTTAGAAGAAATTTTACTAAGCGGCGTGTATTGTTAATTCGTTAGCTGTCAGTTGGCAGTTGCACATAGTGCACCGCGCACGTACCCGCTCCCCGCGTTCCTCCCGTCCCTTGCACCCCCGCGACTCTGTATAACGATTGCATTTACTCAGGAGCTGTATTCCGTGTTTGTATGACATGTCTGTACACAGGCATAGGCTACCGAATGAAGTATAAAGATATTTACATCAAGCAACAGTCATGTTACATTCACTGTTGCTTTCTCTATTGGGAACTAGAACTATGTTCGTAAAATGTTGGTACTTAGTCAGTTAATGTATTATCCCCTAGGTATTGTATGAATTGTCCACGTTGTATTGTAACACTATAACTGCTATATCAAGTCGTGGTCGGGTGTTAGTGAACCGATCGGAGGTCAGACTCGTGTCATGACGTAGGAGGGTGCAAGCGGCGCGTGGCGGGGCGCGGGGAGGCGGCGCGCGGCTCGGGGCGCATCCCGCGGAGGCTGCGCGGTGTCTCGGGCCGGGGTCTCCGCCAGTCGAGCGGTGCGCGAGCCGCGTCTGCCATGTTCCACTGTATAGTGCAGCCGCGCCACGACTGGGGCCCGCCCGACCTCTACAATGCCTTTCCCGGTACGATTTTCGACAGCTGGCCGCATCGCCGGTCTCTGTTGTTGACTACATAGTTGATGACTGGGGACTGTTTCCTTACAAAATGTTACTAGTAAACACTAATTTAGCCCAGTGTTTACCGGAATACGGAAATTTGATGTCTCGTTGGTCTCGGAGCGTCAGTCGTCGCGGCAGCGGCGCTGTTTATGTGAATCTGTGTTATTGTTATCGTTGCATTGTGTCTGATGTTGATGTGTGAGACTGAAGGGGGCGGCCGGTCGCGTCTCGCGTCCCTGTCACATGTGCCGTGTGCCGGGTGCGGGATGTATGTACATCGTACGCAGGCCGCACGTGAATGTGGCTGTCAGTCTGTCGTCCTAAATATTACACTAGTGTTCTGTTTACAGAACTTTACACAGTTTGATGGTTACTTACCTTATAGTCGCGCTTAAGTATAGTTCTGTCTCTACAAATTCTTTGTGAAATGACAGAGATGGTACGATATTTAAGCACGACTTAAAATTGAGTAACGTTTCAGTATTCCGACATAAGAGATAGAGAGTCCCGAGGCTTTAACGAATAGTTCCCGTTCCCGTGGGACGACAGTGATAATAAAAAATATCATACATTTTCAACCGAGCCGCCTGATCGGTGTAAAATTGACAAAGTTTCATACAAACTTTCATCCCCTATTTTACCCCCTGGGGGTGGAAATTGCCAAAATCCTTTACTAGCAAATGCCTACGTTATAGCATCTACCTGCATGCCAAATTTCAGCCCGATCCGTCCAGTGGTTTGGGCTGTGCGTTGATAGATCACTGTGTCAGTCAGTCAGTCAGTTAATCAGGCACCTTTGAATTATATATATACTAGCGAGCTACCCGCCCCGTAAATATACCTACTACAGAATGTCCTTATACACAGCTTTTTTGTCATTAGATAATAAAGGTGGACAATACTGTAGTAAATAATTATGTCTATATCATGGGGTTCAGTCAGTTGGCAATATAAGCGCAAAAATGTGCTTATTTTCGACAACACATTATATGCATGTATTATAGAGGTACATATAAATTACTTTCCTTAAGAATCATATCTACTATCTATTGAAAAAATCCGAATCAAAATTCATTGTGTAGTTTTAAAGATCTAAGCGTACATAGGGACAGACAGACGGCGGATAGCGACTTTGTTTTAAGCTATGTAGTGATAGATTATAAAGCTGAAGAGTTTGTTTGTTTGAACTACTGGTCCGATTTGAATAATTATTTTTATGGTGTATAGTGAATTTATTAAGGAAGGCTAGAGCCGCATATATCATCACGCTATGGTCAATAGGAGCCGAGTCAGTGAGTGAAACATTTTAAACATAAACCGACTAGGATGAAATTAGATACAGACATAGTTTGAGACTCAACGAAGAACGTAGGATAGGCTTTATCCCGGAAATCCGCCGGGAAATGGAAACAACGGCGTCAAAATCACGAGATAATATCTTTCATATTACTGAATCAAGAGCCATCGCAGCGGTAAGTCCCCTCTTTGAGGAGTGACTACCTCGAGCGTAAGGCGCGGCGCGTTCCGCAGACCACCACGGATGGAGCCTAATAGGGCTGATGCCGATATGGAGTCGCGGAGAACCTAACGGGTTACCGGTTCCGGCTCGAAGTGCAGGCGTAGGAACGGGGTGGATTTTAGTCAGTAAGACTCTGACATTCCCTCCCGCCTCACCCAGGCGGGAGCAGCCATGCGATGATTTTACCCCTTCAAAAAAAATACGGAATCAATTTGAATGAAATTAGGTACAGACATAGTTATAGAAGTTATAGCTCGAGGAATAATGTAGTATAATTTTATCCCGGAAATCTGACAGGAATGGGAACCGTGGCGTTAAAATCCCGGGACTCTCTATCTTTTATATCATTAAACTTATTCAAAGTGAAATTCGGTACAACGATAGTTAGAGACACGAGGAAGAATGTAGTATAGTTTTATTCCGGAAATCTTACAGGAACGGGACCATCATTTTAAAATTCCGGCACTCTCTGTCTTTTAAACCACTGTATTGCATATAAATTCGGTGCAACTATGGTTTGCGACCCAAGATAGGACATAACATACAATAGTTTTATCACAATAAATATGAATAACTTAGGTACTGAATCGATTCTGACGTCATTTGTTATAGCCGTAGAGTAGAATATACTTCGGAAAATAAGCTAGGCAAATTAAAATTTACACGTAATCTTTTTTTAAGGGATGACATTAATTTGTATAGTTAAAAAATTTTACATGTCAAGCAACGCTCCTTGATCATTTCATGTTTATATTTTTATCTCTCCCGAGCGTACGGCGGCGTGTCGCGTTCCGCGCGCGCCTCATAGAGCTATCAGACCACCACGAATGGGGCCCAATAGGGCTGATGCCGATACGGAGTCGCGGAGAACCTAACGGGTTACCGGCTCGAAGTGCAGGAGTAGGAACGAGGTGGTTTTTAGTCAGTAAGAGTCTTACATTCCCGCCTCACCCAGGCGAGAGCAGTCATTCGATGATATTCCACCGTAAAAAAAATAAAAATTTTACTTGCAATAGTGGAGATAGCTTTTCTATAGGTTTATAGGTTTTACTCAATGCGTTTATCCATCTAATAGCTTACATTATAAATAAATCTACACCTAAATGAATTGATTACCGGCAGACATCCGCATGCAGCTGTCGGAGCAGACGCGCGTGCTGGAGGCGCGCGCCGAGGCGACGGCGGGCGTGGCGGGCGAGCTGCACGACTACTGCCGCCGCCGCGCCGACCTCGAGCACGACTACGCGCGCGCGCTCGACAAGCTGGCGCGCGCCGCCGCCCAGCGACACAAGGACCAGAAGCACAAGTACGCGCTCACACTGCTGCCACTGCGCACTACTGCGCTTGTTTACATACTTTCCTAGACTACAAAGGTCGATCGTATAAAAAATATATATAATTATAATATACCTAATATTGATATAAATAATGAATTAAGGAAAACATATTTAGGTGTTGTACCTATGTAACCTTTTATAAGGATACATAGGCCACTCTCAACCTGCCGATACGGAGGTCTATGACGATGATGATCATTTAAGACTAGACGCATTATGTATTAGATCGAATTGTCAATAGAAACTGCCGTTGGTCGTCTCTCCTCAGTTTCGAAGCACCCCCTAACTGCTTCAGCCGATATTGGAATACTTACTTGGTGTCGACATTTCGAGCGACGTCCAGTTCCGCTATCATCCAGAGGATAAAATAAGGCCAAATTAGTCTCGCTTGCTTGGGGTGCTAAATAGGTCGAGGATCGGATTTCACTCCGGCCCATCGCCTGCTTCTATGTAAGGCGTGCGGTTGACGGTTCGGATTGTTGGGTGTCGGTATGTTTCAAACCGACTAGACACTTTGGCAATGCGTATGTAGCTTCTTCTATCGCTTGTACCGCGCGCAGGGAGTACTCTTATTTTTTTTAAAGAGAGAAAATCATCCAATGACTTCTCCCGCTTTGGGTTAGGCGAGAGGTAGTGTTAAACTCTTACTGAAAATTACCCCGTTCCCCGTTCCTACTCCTGCTCTTCGAGCCGGAGCCCCGGCAACCCGTTTGGCTTTCCGCGGCTCCGTATCGGGCATCAGCCCTACTGGGCCCAAGTTGGATCTGGTTGGGCTGCGAGCTACCCTTGCTCGGTACTTGGTGGCCGGAGATCGTCACGCAATCTCCGACACCCGGAGTGTCTTCCGCGACGGCTGGGGTATGCCTGACGCGTCTTTTCGCCATCAATTCTCACGATAACATATCTATCCCCATCATATAGATGGTTGCTAGGCCACAACTGTGCGCTTCTCTCGTAGCTTTCTGCCTCGCACAGCAAAACTGTGGAATGATTTGTCGCCGGCGGTATTTCCGAACCGATACGACCTTCGATCTTTCAAGAAAAGAGCGTATTCCTTTTTAAAAGGTTCAACGCGCCTGTGATTCCTTTGTGGCGGGTGTCTATGGGCGGCGCTGATCGCTTACTATCAGGTGACCTGTCTGCTCGTTTCCGTATCTATTCCTAAAAAATATGTTTAACATATTATGAATATTTAACAAAAATCATACAGTGGGGTTTAAAAATAGTCCTAATAAGTTAAAAAAGTAAATCGGTCTATAATGGAGATACATTATAACCAGATAGTCAATGGTAGTAGATGTACGGAGTTTGGTCGTAGGCGCGAGCAGTGGTCGCTGACGAGCGGGTACGCGTGCTGGCAGGCCGCGCTCGAGCACACGCGCGGGCTGGCGCGCGACCACGCCGCGCTCGCCGACCTGTACGCCGGCCCGCTCGCCGCGCGACTGCAGCGCGCCGCCGACGACGCGCTGCGCCTGCACCGCAAGTGTCGCGACATCGGTGAGTGCCCGACCGGCCCGGGCCGTGCGCGACGGCCCGGCGCCCACTGACGCCCGCTGCCCGCAGTGACGGAGCGCCACGAGGAGGTGGGCGCGGCGCTGGGCGAGGCGGCCGGCGCGGGCAAGGCGCACGCCGCCGCCGCCGCCGACTGGCGCGCCGCCGCGCTCAAGCTGCGCCACGCCTACGACCAGCGCCAGCGCGTCGCCGCCGTCGACCCGCCGCGACACAAGAAGCTCAAAGCGCTCGATAAAGAACTAGAAAAGGTATAAATCGATTCCTGTGTACATAAGGATTTATGTTTATTGTAGCAAATGGATTAACGATACATCGATAATCATTCCCTCGAAATAATATACATCGGCGTGTTGTGGCAACGTTCCAGCGGCGCGCGCGACACCGCGCGGCCCACGAGCGAGCGCTGCGGGCGCGCGCGGACTACGTGCTCAGTCTGGAGGCCGCCAACGCCACGCTGCAGCGGTACTACCTCGACGACATCGCGGACATCATACTGGTACACGACACATTCTATTTAAGCTTATTTAACATGGGAGTAATGACATTTTCGAAGAAATTGCCTTAAAAGTACCCAGACCGGGTTCCCGTTCACAAACACTTTTTTCACTTCCTTTCTATAAAACAGTTTACAATAACTTCTTGAGACGGAGCACAAACACTTATAATAATACATTTAATGAAATAGATATATTAATTAACCACAGTTTAGCATCTTATAAAATTAAATTGCGCAGCCTACTCTTAAAGACCATGTAAAATATGTTTGACTGCATGTACTTGTGTATTTTGTTTAAAAATAAATTGTGGGTAGGTACTTATACTACACTTTAAAATTGTATGGATTGTATGGAGCCCGAAGTCTTTTTGAACCTATTGTTTTCTTATGTACTTACGTTATTTTAATGTGACTGTTTGTTTTCTAAATAATTTTAACTTTATCAATTTTAGTCGTGAGCATGCACAATTATGTAGTTTAATTCTGTCGAATACGAAACGCTCGCAGTGCATGGAGGTGGGGTTCGAGGGCGTGGTGGGGCGCGCCGTGCGCACGGCGGGCGAGGCGGAGGCCGCGGCGGGCGGGGCGCGCGCCGCCGCCGCCGCCGCCCTGCGCGCCGCCGCCGCCGCGCTGGACGCGCTGGGCGCGCGCACGCGCTTGCTGGACGCGCACGCGCCCGCCTTCACGCTGCCGCGCCCGCTGCTGCCGCCCGCCGCGGCCGACGCGGCCGACGTGCTGGCGGACGCGGCGGACGAGGCGCGCGTGGACGAGGCGCCGGCGCACGTGGCGGACGAGCTGGCGGTGCGCCTGGCGCAGCTGGACGCGGCCGCGCGCCAGCTGCGCGCCGAGTGCCGCGAGCACGCCAAGACGCTGGACGCCGCCGAGGCCGAGCTCATCAAGCAGGTGTCTGTCTACTGTTGGGCTTATATTGCTTCAATTTCATCCCGGTCCCTTTAGCCGTTTTGATAATGAGCATACACACAAACTTACAAAGGAGAATGGCAGGTTTGTATGGAAGTTTTGTACCGCTATAAAATTTTGTATTAGTCATTGTTTTAACCAAGCGAATAGTGAACGATAGATATTTTTATTATGAAGTTTAGAAAAAATTACATATTTTTAGAACTTGGGGTTCAAAAGTTATTTCACTTTGAAAATGTGCAAAAGGTACGTTAAGGTGGTACCACACTTGACATTGCGTAGTCGCTTCATTTGTTCAAATATTTGTAGACTACGTACAAATGGCGTCCAAATAGTATCTCTATATGTAATGGCGTGCAAATATAGAGCAAACAAAGAAGAATAAATCCTCCACACATGTTCTTTTTTGGCCGAACACGACAAATACGCAACGTCAAGTGTAGAGCCACCGTTAAGCAAAATATCTATTACAAATGACAGATGACAGTTAACGGAAAAATGTCAATGTATGTGCTCTCTTGTGGTTGTTTACAAAAAACAAAAATCTAAATAATGCTCGCTACCCAAGTGACTATTACACTTTGTATTATTAGGAATGATCCTGTTAATTCAGCAAGCATGATGTACCAATAGAGTTTTAAAGAGTATGTCTCACAATCTTTTTCATTTCTTAGGTGCCTACGAAAATGCAAATTCATAATGTAAGCGACTGTCATTGGGTAGAAGGCCTACATTTAGCAGTGGAAGTCGTGGGGCGGATATGATAAAACTAATTTCTCACTTCACCTTGAATCTTGCGGGCAGATGCAAGATTTAATGTGTAAAATCAAGATTCGAGGCAGAGGCCTGATATACAAATAGTCTTTAAGTTAATTCGATTTAAACTTAAGCTTAGCTCTTTGAGAAAGTATTTCTTCTGAAAACTGGTTGCTTAGCACGCATGTAAGGTTTAATTTCTAATAAGTAAGTCAAATTAGTAGAATCATCAACATTTTCATCATTAAGTCTATAAGTGGCCACTGCTGACCGAAGCCTCTTCTCGCATGGAGAAGGTTTGAGCATTAATCACCATACTAGCTCAATGTGGGTTGGTAATTCAAACTTATAATAAGAAATTATAAGCCCATGTTAGAGGTGTCTTTGTACTTTCTTAGATTATTTACATACATACATACATAACTTCACGCCTGTCTCCCATGGGGGTAGGCAGAGACTAAGGAACGCCAATTACTACGATTCTTACACACCTCTTTCGCTTCAATAACAGTCATCAATCTTTTCATGCATGCTCGTCGGTTAAGGGTACTTTTAATTTGGCCCTTCTTTAATATATCGCATAGATATATAAAAATATATTAGATTATTTAATATACGAATAACTCGGAAAAAAGACACATTGGTACTTTGCTGTTGGTAGGTTTCGAACCTGCACTCTCATGCATGAGAAGCAGGCTTCTTAAAGCTCCGGGCCACCACATCACAACTAAAGAAAATGTAAAATGAAAATGAACATTTTTGGTATAAAACTAAAGCTATCTAAATTAAATATGGCATTTATTTTATAGATTGATTCTTACATACATACATACATAACTTCACGCCTGTCTCCCATGGGGGTAGGCAGAGACTAAGGAAATTGATTCTTAAAATCACTTTTATCAAGATAGAATTTATAGTTACTTACTAGGTTAAAATAAAACAAATGTATTATTTTAAAATTCTTTTATTTCATTGTATTCAGGTTGTTTCTAGGACTATTTCATCTAAAAAGAGAACAGGCAGTGTCATAGGTACAGCAGACATCAATTGCTGATATCTGTAAACAAGTAAGGTAACTGTAAATAAAGTAAACAAAAGTACATTTTTTCCTTTAGTTTTATATGTTATAATAATATGTCTGATTCCCTACCTTAACTCGTCGAGTACCGGTTTTATAGACACAATTAAAGAACAATAGGTCGCGGTCACCGGTGACCGCTTGGTGTTTGACAGATTAAAATGGAAAAGATAAAAATAAATATTTGATTACATTAATTGATTTTATAACATTTATTATAGTTATTCGTATATCAGATCACATTATTTGTATTACAGATCATAGGAGCTCAAACAGCATAAACCTATTATAAACCGCTTATATACTCCACATAGATACATAATTATGTAGGTACATTATAATGAGAATGCATACTTGTTGAAGCTCTGAGAGCCGAACAACAATTTTCCGGCCTCATCTGTTCTACAAATGGCAATGTTAAACTGAGGCTTAGTCCATGTTTACATAACACATTACTTCCTGATAGTGAACACTGTGAGGTGGTATGTCAAGTTGTGGTTATATAGTTTCGACTCTTGTATGGTCTCTCAGTCAGTATGGAACATGATCTTCATCATGGGAAGTAAGCTAAAATAAGTAATATTATTAGAATATGATATTGACCTTAGATTACACTGTAAATGATAATAGTATGGTTAAATTATGCTTTATTACCTCTTGTGGCTGAATCCAATCAAATACTATATGAGCCAGTCTTTAGTCCTGTTCTTTGGCGCCTTCAATTAAAACCCTGCGTCACCTTATCCTTGCAATGAATCACCCATATACGACATAAACATGCCGATGACCAATTTGTTTGCTGGACATACTTTCAGCAACATCCCGATACATTGCTAATTGCCAGCAAGCATTGCAAATATGGTTGGTAGGAGAGATCTAGAATAAAATGATACATTATGGGTAGATAACACTATGCGCCTTCTTTTATTCAGGCAACATGGTGACTTTCGATATGTTATCCGGGTAAACTAGGTATTTACATCTGTAGGATAAGTCCGCAATGGGATATTGTTGACCACGTCTAATCTTCACTCTCATTTCCTAGAGCGTCTCATGTGCGACAAACTCTGAATGCAATTAATGCACTGTAAATTCATCATCGCGACAGATTACAACACACTATGCACAAAATAATGTAAATAAGTGTCTTTTCGCAATTGTCGCAACAATGACGCCAATAACACCAATTTGGGCTACGGAGGAACGGTTGCCAAACTCAACGTATCACCAGATGAATAAAATAACTTCAAATTCAACAAACACATCATAACATCGCATTTGAAACAAACAGCAATGCGCCAGTATTGACAAATTAATTGTCAATGTCATCAAGACAAATGCCAGTTCAACATTGCCATATTCAAGTTTGTTAAAATGTTAATTATTATTAATAATCCATGTAAACGTAGATTTAGATTGGATGTAGATTTTTATATTTACTTATAAAAATGTTTGAAATGGAAAGAAAAATATTTCATTGATAGATATTAAAATAAATGAGTTTATGAAATAGCGACATTCAATATGCTCTGATTTCATCTTTACGCATGGCAACTTTGTAAACGTCAATCGCGATTTGTTTTAACGTTTGGAAACGCTTAGTGGATTGATTTTTATCATTATTGAATATCAGTTTTTCTAGGGTTTCCCAAGTTCTAAAAATCTATTAAATATGCTAACATAACGTACTTAGGAGGTTCTATAACGACCCAATTTTTTAATGACAAATCTTTTTTTAGCGAAGCGGTACAAAATCTGCCGTTCTCCTTTTCGAATGTATAACTACTTGTGATTCAAGCTACTTTCGACTGTCGGCCCTACAGGTACAGAGTAAAGTTCACCGGCAGGCAACCTAACATTGAACAAACTTATATTTGCGTTGAGTACAGTAATTATGTCCATTTTCATGCTTTGGTTTTAAAAATACATATTGTACGATCACTGAAGAAATGGTCATCCGAATCATGGTATAATTTCCTTCGTGTTGTGTATTCGCATCGCAGTTATGTGTAAAAGTCGTAAAAGACAGTAAGGTGTAGGCAGGAGTGATGAGAATCTGTATCGGTGCGCGCAGATGGAGGGCGACGACGCGGCCTGGGACGTCAGCGGAGTGTTCGGCGCGGGGGGCGCCGGCGCCGCCGCCCTGCCCGCCTCGCCCGGCGCCCTGGCCGAGGACCAGGAGGACTACTACCTCCACAAGTTCCGCGCCTACGTGGCCTGCGCCGGCCGCCTGGCGCGCCTCGAGGCCAAGAGCGCGGCGCTGCGCGGCAGCCTGGCGGGCGCGGGCGGCGCGGGCGGTGCGGGCGGCGCGGGCGGCGCCGTGGAGCCGCGCTCGCCGCCCACGCCCCCGCGGCGCGCGGCGGCGCGGCTGCGGCGCGGCCAGTGGGCGGCGCCGCTGGAGGCGCGGCTGCCGGCCGTGCTGGTGTCGTGCGTGCGCGTCATCGCCACGTACGGGCTGCGCCAGCAGGGCATCTTCCGCGTGTCGGGGTCGCAGGTGGAGATGCAGGCGCTGCGCGCGGCCTTCGAGCGCGGCGAGGACCCGCTGGCGGGCGTGCGCGACGCGTCGGACATGAACTCGGTGTGCGGGCTGCTGAAGCTGTACCTGCGCGAGCTGCGGCCGCCGCTGCTGGCGCCGGCGCTGCGCGAGCGCCTGCTGCGCGTGGCGGCGCTGGCGGACGACGCGGCCTTCGTGCGGCGCGCGCGCGACGTGCTGGCGGCGCTGGCGCTGCCGGCCGTGCTGGTGCTGCGCTACCTGTTCGCCTTCCTGGCGCACCTGGCCGAGCACGCCGACCAGAACATGATGGACGCCTGGAACCTGGCCATCTGCCTGGGCCCGACGCTGCTGGCGGCGTGGGGCGAGGGCGGGGCGCAGGTGGCGGCCCAGAACCTGGCCAACGAGCTGGTGAAGCGCATCATCCTGCACCACGCCGAGATATTCCCGCAGGACGTGGCGCCGCACGCGCTCTACACACGCTTCGGGTACATACTCTCGGCAGCTTCCATGGACCGAGCTGCAGGTCGCTCTCTGGATAAAGAAACAAACAAACAACATTTATTTGGCAAATAGCACACAAACAAAGATACTTGTCTACATAAATACATAATATTAATAACAAACTTAAAAGCGTAAAAAAAGAACAAAAAACATTAAAATAATAACAAAATAATTTACATACAAAACAAATGCAATAAGTTTTTGATATAAAGAAAATTTTATATACAAAAAAACAAAACTAAACATAAATAATATAATACATAGTAATATTGTAGTGCGTGTGCACATGCCAAGAGGCGTCCACCTCAGCGTATAGTTGACCGTCCCTGCCCAACGCTGGTTGTCAGGCGGCACCCTGCAGTGGCTCACGGACGGCGGTACCGGCCCTCAAAGGAAAATGAATTTAAATATGATATTATATAGATAAAATAAATTCTGCAGAATATATGTGTGTGTGTGTGTGTGTGTGTGTGTGTGTGTGTGCGTATGTGTGTAAAAAGTTGTGATTAAAAAAATGTATAGATCTAATAGTAAATGTAAATAGAAACGAAATGTATCTCCAGCCAGTTACCCAGCTCGGCTCCGCTCTACTCCTGTCCGGCCCGCTCCCCTCCAGCCAGCTAGATATACGTATTATTGATAATCAAAGAACTAAGCATACTTACAACAAACGCATGCGATACATTTACACATCAGCAAGAGCTGTTCACAGACTGCAGTCACCGAGTGAATACAAACGTCGCGTACTAGGAAACTGGAAGGTCATAGTGTAGTAATGTGGCGTGTGCAGGGAGGGCGACGGCGAGGCGGACGCGCAGCGCGGCGGGGGCGCGGAGGGCGACGCGGGCGGCCCGGGCGGCCCGGGCGGTCCGGGCGGCCCGGCCGACCCGGGCGAGGCGGCGGTGCCGACCGCGGACGAGGCGGACGCGGCGGACGACCTGTCGCTGTACGACATCGACGACGACGACACAGGTACTGCCGCGTCACCTTCATCGATCATATTTTAAACATCATTCGCTCGTTGGTCTGCTGAGTGAATGATCTCAGATTCCTAATTAGGTGAAAACTACCTTATTGGCCACAATAACGTAGTTTTCTTAAATTTTATTTTAAAGCTCGCCTAGTACGAGTTAAAACATTAGATACGTATTTTCCATTCCTTAACTGACGATGGACTAAATAGATTTTTAATTTTCATACCCTGTCAACTGGTCTTCGTGCTAGTTACTATTAAAGAAATTTGTAAAATTAAAAAAAAACTCGCTATTACACTTTGAACAAGCAATAGTAAATATTTTTACTGATTATGTAATAAATTGATATAACTAGCTGTATTTTCGTTTCGTAATTTCTGAAGGTGATGTCTGGTTAGAGGTCCGTGTAAGTCCTGATATGTTGCGTTGCAGACGAGGCCAGCGACGAGGACGAGAGCGGCGCCTGGGAGCGCGAGTCCGTGGAGCTGCGCAGGTGAGGCCGTACGACGTACTCTTTGTTTCGTTGTGGCGCGCTCCTACACTACTACCATTATACGATTCTGCAATGCGCTACAACACAGAGTAGCGTTAGGACCTGCTATCAGATCTGAATCAGATTAAAATTTAAAATATCTACATAAAGCTTAAAGACCAACATTAATATCATGCATTTAAAAAGTACTTGTCCATGAAGTAGGTTCACTGAAGAAAAACAAGTTAAAAAAACGTCTAGTACACTACTGTGACAGATAAAGATAAAGATAAAGATAAAGATATTTTATTTCGCAAATATGGGTACATATCATGGTAGTGCATAATAAAAAATACAGAAACAGCCATATTTTACACATTTTACAATTCAAGACAATAATTCTAAATAATGTCATTCAATTTATAAATAACTAGCTTCTGCCCGCGACTTCGTACGCGCAATCTCGTTTCCTCCCGTTCCCGTAGGATTTCCAGGATTCTTTCTGTCTTAAGAACCTTCTCCTGACAATAACAAACACAACAAATAAAAAATTATCCAAATTGGTCCAGCCATTCTCAAGTTATGGCGTGACAACGGGAAACGGGTTTCATTTTTATATATATAGATTCTAATAATTTATCAGTCAATAATATAATTAATGTCACAATTTCTAATAATGATTAAAAAAACAAAATATAAAACAGTCAAACAATTTCTTTCTCCAATAAAAAATCTGCAATACTATAATAAACTTTGTCGAGTAAAAAATTCCTCAGTCTTTTTTTAAATAATGACACATTATATTCCTTCCAACAGCTTGGTATTTTATTATATATTACCGGTGCCATGCAGCAAACTCCCTTGCGCATCAGAGCTGTTTTAGCCCTGGGGACACATAGACTACTATTATCACGCGTATTTCGCGGAAATACGTCAGCCATTCGTGCGAAGCGCCCCGAGTTTAATTTTACAAATACTGCCATTTCCAAAATGTACAAACATGGTAGAGTCAACAGTTTATATTGCTTAAAATATGGCACGCAGCTATCTGTACTTTTCAATCTAAAAATAGACCGAATGCATCTTTTTTGAGCCTTAAATGCAGTTTCTTTTTCTGTAGAGTTGCCCCAAAAGATAACTCCGTATCGCAGATGGCACTTAACTATACCATAATACGCAGTTAGGCATGCGTCCAAGTTAGCCATAGCTGACAAGGTATATGGAGCATATGCAGATGTACTTAATTTCTTGCCGAGTACCTCAATGTGTGACAAAGTGCGTATTTGATGAAACGTGATTTTAAATTGTCCACAAAGTATAAAGATACGTTCTGTGGACAATTTTAAGAGCAAACATTTGCTTTACTTCATGGTAAAACTTACCAATATTGAAAATACCTAATTCAGAAAAATTGATATAAGAGCTTTAATTCAAAATTCAAAACTTTGCGCCTAATACTAATTCAAATAATTTTTATTATTTGAAATGTCGTCTTTGACCAGACTGTTCCACAATTTCCGAGTATAGTAAAGTATATATAAGTAAAGGTGATACTTTGAAAATATAAGTTTATTTTGAGTTCAATGTAAGGACTGATAAAAGTATAAGAAAAGAATCTCGTATCGTCAACTGTCATAATGTTTCCTAGTTTGGTAATTTGTAATGAAAGTTCATTATTTACTATATACCAAAAATACAGTACTAGGTAAGATTTCAAGACGGTTTAATCAGAAGATAAAGTTTTGTAATAAATATAAAATATTCATATTCATATTCATTTATTTGCGTTCCATAAAGTGAATAAGGTGTTACAATAGGCTTAAAGCTAAGTACATTTATGGACCCTGTAAGGGCACAGCAATATTTTTTAAGATAAAGCTTTTTTTTAAAAGAGATTATCCAAAAATAGACCTAACATATTATTCTAGTAAAACAAAATAAAATTAAAAATAAGATAATTAAAGTCAAAATAAAATGATAATTACTAAAATAAAATATCATATTAAAATTCTTGGTATGTCCAATAATTACAATGATACCTAAATCAAATTTAAACAATCATAATTAAATTAAAAATATCAAATTAAAATAATTAAAATCAAATTACAATAACGAAAATCAAATTAAAATAATTAATTGGTAAACAAATAAATGAATACATACATATAAGATAAACGAAGTGTCTTAGTCTATGAAAATAGTTCCTAATATTCTAATATAATTATTCGCACTGTTGACAATTGTTACATAATGTTTATTATAATTCGATTATCAATTTATCCCTCTTAGATATTTTATTCTTCATATAGTCATTTTCCTTTATTTTTTTATAACTGTGTAATTGAAAGCTTTCCACTATTATCGTTAGGTACACAAAAACATCATACACATGTAAGCACATTATATTTATACAGGACTCTCTGGTACCTGTTCAGTATTTATTTTATTTTATTCATTATACATATTTATTCAACATCTTTCATTTTATTATTATACTTGTGATTACTTTTATTTATTTCTAATTCTTCAACCTTAAAGAACCTTTTAAGGTTCTTTTGACCGCCAATCATTTTCACAGAGAGAGCTCGTCTACACCATGATAAAACTAAGGACATGATCACTAAACTGTACCTCACCATGTGTACCGATTATATTTATTATTTACTTATCATTTAACTATCAAACTTAACATAAACACAATCCAATTAAATAGCTTGGTCTACAAACTATAGGTTAGGTGATCAGCCCTCAGTCATACGCCAAAACTTGTGTACCAAGTCATTCCAAACTACTTAAAAACCAAACTTCCATTATACAGGGTGTCTCACGGCATAGTTAGGATTTTAAAATTGAATATTTAAAAAAAGTTGCAAGTAAGCGCGGGGGCAGGAACGCAGTAGCTTCGTCATTCGTGCGGATTCGTTAGACACGATGTCGCAGTGGTCGGGTGAGCACCGCGCGTTCGCTATCGAAGCGTGTTTGAAAGGTGGAGAATCGTACGTCGTGGCTCGAAGACAGTTTTGTTCTCACTACAATATCAGACGTTTACGCGATGGACCAAGCGAAAATTTGATTCGTAAATGGGTTATCAAGTTTCGAGCTACCGGTTCCGCTATAAATCAACCGCGTCCGGGCCCAAGCAGAACTTCAAGAACGGAAGAAACAATGAACGAAGTTGCAGCTAGCGTTCGACGTAATCCACGCTTGTCAATACGCAAAAGAGCGGCGGCTTTAAACGTCACTAAATCAACCGTAGAGCGGATTTTAAAACGTGATTTGAAATTCCATCCCTATAAAATACAGATAGTGCAGGAAATAAATGAAAATGACTACAATTTACATAAAAGTTTTTGCCAGACAATTATTGAGAGATTTCGCACTATGAATACTGTGTTTTGGAGTGTGAAGCACATTTCCATTTGAATGGATATGTTATCAAACAAAATTGTCGCTTTTGGTCAGAAGTCAATCCCAGACAAAAACATCAAAGACCGCTACATAGCCCAAAAGTGACAGTGTGGTCTACCATATTGTCGTAGCTCTGTCGGGTTATTTCAAATTAAAACAGAAGACTGCACAATTAATAGGTTTAATTTCTACATATCAGAATCAAGACCGGCTCACACCGATACAAAGAAATGCCCGAATGCTATGGCTGGCGTGCTCTTTCGGTCAATGGAATAATCGGGCCGTAGTTTTTTGAAAATGCGACAGGTGCTGCGATAACTATTTCTGGTGAGGCTTATCGGAAAATGATATCCAATTATTTTATACCCCAACTTTGAGAGCATCCAGCCTACAGCTCAAGAACGTGTAGAGTAAAGTTTACGTCAATACTCCGAGGAATATCGCTGAGCTAAAACAAAATATCCAACAAGAAATACGCGACATCGAGCCGGCTATGCTTAGGCGCGTTATGCAAAATGCAATGAATCGATTCCGTGAGTGCGTGCTACGAAATGGAAGACATCTGGAAGATGTAATCTTTAAAAAATAAAATGCTCATTATAGTTTAATAGTTTTCAATAAAAATCTTTTCACAAAAATATGCAAATTGACTTTTATTTCATTTCAAAATCCTAACTCTGCCGTGAGACACCCTGTACAAACACTAAACACATTCCAAACCCCAGCTAATATCAAATTTCATTCAAGTAATTTATTTCACAAGACAAAACCGAAGTGCAGTTGTTATTGTTAATCGTAACACGATTCTTTTAATACAATCTGACACTCGGTATGACATCATTTACCTGTGGGAACATTCCTTTAAATCCTATTATCTCACATACTTTAGAATTCCAGTTTACTATGTTTTCCTAAAAAATAATATTACAAAATTACAGTTAATTAAAAAAAAGTTATGATTAATTGTCAACAGGCGTGAATAACCTGTAGATACTAGTATTATTATTATACTAATTAAGTAACTAGTATTATTTTAAAAATATTAAAAATAGGCACTTATATCACTAAAATTACATAAATATGATAATCCTTGCATGCATCCTTACATGCAACCGACGTGAAGCACACTTACGCAAGTGTTGCTTCACGTCGGTTTTCTGTGAGGCCGTGGTATCACTCCGGTCGAGCCGGCTCATTCGTGCCGAAGCATGGCTCTCCCATACTTAAATTATCTTTTAGTAATTGAAAATTGTATCTAATTTATGACGCATTTCGCCATATACGCATTAAAAATTGCGAATTAGAATGTCAAAAAATGTGGGAATTTTCGAGAATACGAATATTAGTTTAGATATAAACAGCATGATATGTTTAGTGTAAGAGTGACAACATCGTGTCCCGTGTTGCAGCCCCGGCCCCGCGGCCGCGCCCCCCGCGCCCGCCGGGGCCCCCGCGCCCCCCGCGCCCCCCGCCGGGGCCCGCGCGCAGGGCCCGCAGCCGGCGCCGCAGGTACTTGAGGAGCCCGCCACTAGTCTGTAGACCGAGTCTCCATCATTGCTCGTTGACAATCATGGACAGTGATCTAACGACACGTACGATATTCCCGACGTGTGCGCTCCCTAGTGCGTGCTCGGGATATGTACTCAGTATTATCGCGCACTGCACTTTGCATGACGTAGTGTTGGCTACAATAAAATGTAGTGTTTTGTAATGTAAGTACATCGAAACAGAAACAGCTTCGAAACCATAAAATGAGTATGTAATGTATAGAAAGACATATTGACCTGTAACTAGTACGGAGCGGAGTAGCTGTGTAAGTGAATGACTGCGTACACTAGACGAATGTACGTACCGGGTGATCGCATGACGCTTTTTTTTTTAAGTTAACTTGGGTTTTCTCCTGTGTCGTGGGTGTGTTTACAAACATACAACTTCACATACACATCACACCCTGATCCGAAATAACAATTTGTGCATCCCACAAAGAATTGTTCCGTGCAGGAATATAACCCGCTACAGATAGCGCGGCAGCCGGTTGGGCATGCACCGTGCCGTATAGTTGCTTTGCTTCGAGCTCCATGTCGCTTGGGGAAGTGGCGCGGCCTGGCCGGGCATGGGGCCTATGGCATGGCGGCCGCGGTCTACAGGTCGGACGGTTCATTTTTATGTATCGGGTTATTCTAAATACATCAACAACCTCGCAGCACTTACCAACATCACAGTCAGCAATGTTTGTTCCACGACTTCAAACTTTTTATAAAAGTTAAGGAAAATAGTCAATCATCGTCCTCCGAGAGTGTTGGTGTGTTTGCAATAACCTTGTACAATGTTTCGTTTGTAATGACGAATATTAGTGGCGGCGGACTATTGCAGGTAGTAACATGGAGCTTAATGCTAATGTAGCGCAAGTGCCTTACCTCTACAATAACTGAGAATAATACGGATTATAAGTATGTATACATATATGTAGGCGTAGTATAACAAAATTGTGAACAAAATACTTGTAAGTAGCACCGTAAGTGTGTAAACGTATGGTATACATGATATTATGTAGTTGAGATACGTCGAATGTTCGGCCGAATCATTCGTTTCAAACCTGCGTTATAAACGGATCTATTTCTTCATTTGTTAAGTACCTAGTATTTGTTACGTAAAAATTTAAATATTTAAAAATTCCGTAATAATTTGGTGAATCAACCCACTACGAACATGAAAAAATATGACGATTAACCGAATGCTCATATTCGGGGGAACATTCGGCGCGTCACCTTATGTGTATTACGTAGTGTAGTTTGCTTAGCCGGCGGGCGGTGGCTGGACTTGTCAATAAATACTTCCTTGCATGGCTGTGTTTGATTTGTCGCTCGACCCATCCACGTGGGAGGCTCTCGAGGCCCGCGGGGAGAGGCGTGCTGACTGATGTATTCTGGTCTGCCGATGTTTCTTTATATCTGACCTGTGTGTCATTTCCTTTTTCGCAATTTTCAGTTTCCCTCGGTATTACGCAGCTTAATAGCCTCCCTTCATAATTATTCAATTTGAAGCAGTACTTCTGGAGATAGGCGTGTATAAATAAACTCTTAAGCTTTATTAGTATAGAGATTATTTATTTCATAACTTTCGTGAGACATACTAAATTAATTATTATGTTTTTCGGCTTACTTACTTGTTCTGTTCGGTTCAACCCATACTTGTGTGTGTACAATTGTACATGTTGTTCTTTTTCTTTATATTTATTTAACTTTTTAATATCGGAAGAGTAATTACCTTGACATAATGGAACATTAAACAAAAATCAGTTCCTTAATAATACCGGCCCGAGCCAGGAATGAAGTCTGAGATTATTATTGCTCAAAATGTCATTCGAGTCATTTGGTGCAATGCGCTCACACCTCGATCGAACGTCTCGGCTCATATTGCGACAACATAAAATGGACATAGTAATACCTATGCAGGTACTTCATTCCTACCATACCTCGACTGAGTATTGCAATGTGGAGCAATGAGGGAGACGTGTTAGTGTTATGAATAACTCTAATTGAGTGTCTTAATAACTATCTTACGCTACTTACTTATAGGGCGAGGTGTCACACACACTACAGTGTGAACATGGACAATAGTGATTGACAATTGTTTAGATCGTTCTATATCCGCTCGGCAGACGCGCGACTCGGGAACCGTAGGGCACTAATAATACACTGAAGATAATGATGTGTAGGTGGAGCCCGACCTGGACGAGCCGCCGGGAGACGCCGAGGCCGCCGCCCCACCCTGCAGGTAACGTACTGCGTCCCGCGTGACGTGACGATACGTGACGTGACGTGACGTGACGATTGCCGTGTGCGTGTCGCAGGCGGCTGGCCGAGAGTACGCCCGACCTGGTGCTGGACCTGCCCGCGCGGCCCGAGCCCGACACCGCCGACACCTTCGCGCACAACCGCGACACGCTGCGCAAGCGGCCCGCGCCCACCGCGCCCACCGCGCCCGCCGCGCCCACCGCCGCGGCCCACGCGCCGCCCGCCGCGCCCGACCCCGCGCCCGCCAGCCCGGTGCCGGCGCGCAACACGGCGCGGGTGGCGGCCAAGTTCGCGGAGCTGACGCTGACGGGGGGCTCGTTGAAGCCGGCGCTGGCCGCCAAGCCCGCGCTGCTTCGCCGGCCCACTCCGCACCCGGTGCACGCGCCGCGCCCGCCCCCGCCCGACCCCGCCAGCTAGGCGGCCGGCGGGGCCGCGCCCGCCCCACTTGACCCCGCCAGCTAGACGGTCGGCGGGACCGCGCCCGCCAGCTAGGCGGCCGGCGGATCTTGCTCTGTTTGTAATTATTTTTTATACGCGTCGCGGAGGAACACGGTCGGCCCCCGGCCCGAAGCTTTAACGAACGGCAGATTTTAATGTGCTATAGATTTAGATATTAAGTGCGTATTTTTTGAAATAATTTTAAGTCGTCGAAAGTGGCTAAACGTGGCGTGGTGGTCCGCCTCGTCCGCAGCTGTAGCCGCCGTCCTCCCCGACGCATTATACATATACTCAGTCGACTGTGTTGTATCTACCTTATGTAACCTCTTACTCAATAAACCAGTATTACGTACTACTTCTGTTATTACTGGCCCCCGGCCGGCCTTCCTGCTGACAAACCATTTACGTTAAATTAACAAACACAAGAACGAGCAGAAAACCTGATTGAAAAAGACGTTCTGGGGTGTTACTAGATAGACACCGAAACAAGAAAATTTGTCTGTCTGTATGTATGTTTAAGCTACTGGTTCGATTCCAATGAAACTTGGTAGGATTATCTTTACTTCCTTACTATCCTTACTATTTATAAATCTGAAAGTGAGTTTGTTTGTTTGTTTGGTCCGTTTTCACGCCGTAAGTACTGAACCAATTGCTTTAAAAATTTTGCAGACGTAAAGACGTAAAGTAGAAGTCCAGATTAAATAATAGGGTACTTTTTATCCTGGAAAAATGTGATATTCCCGAGGGAAAACAAAAATATTAGTATAGATGGCGCTGTGTGTATTCGTATAGATGGCGCTGTATGCCATTTAAAACAATTCGACGAATTACCTACTAATTTGAAATTTCATGCTTTAATCTATAGCGGTTGTTTGGTGTTAATCTACACATATTCGGTGCACTTTTCGACTCATTTATTTGCTGTTTTATGTCATTTTTAAAAACGTGGTAACGTTGTGTTTTTTAAGTATTTTTCGCTTTTAAATTCCTGGTTGGTTTGGTTCCTACCATTTGACATTGAATTGTGTATTTTATAGATTTTAGGTTGTTAAAGGTATCTTAAATTGGTGTCTATGTAGTAAGTAGTGTGTGCGTTCGCGGAGCGGAATGTTGTTGCATTTAAAGATTTTAATTATGCAGACGACGTGCTCTTTTTGAGTTAGGTCTTAGCCCATAGGATATACAGCAGGCTGTTTAACAACAGTTCAGTTCAGTTGTGTAAAAACAGTTCATTCCACAGTCTCGGTGTGCGAGGTAGAATGTAGGTATATCAAGAGACTATACTTGGGCTATACATAAATAACTATCTGTTTCTGTACGGTATACCTTCATTGCAAATTAATTTAATGGGATCGACTGTAATGGGATCTACGTGGGTCAGACAGGCGGCAATCTTGCGACTAGGTATGAAGAACACGTTGTTACAGGAATGGCCATCCAGACAAGTCACGTTTTGCCAACCATATAATTAATCCCGGTCATTCCTTGAGCGATAACAAACGTTAAAATATTTGCATATTCTGTAGTATAAGCTTTCATAAAAGTAATAATAAAACATAATAATATGCACCCACTGTTGAATGATCAAACAAATCCAGTCCCATCCCCACTACTGAGCGTGACATCCGGTAGGTCTTCATCTAAATAAAGAGGTGATTTGCTGGACCAATTCATTCAAGCTACGACAAGCCGCCGAGTCAACAACTCCTGAGCATGCCCCGTGGAGGAGCGCAACATTATGTCGACTGTGACCGACTGGTTTGTTGCGTGTCAGGAGGGCGGTGTTGTATACTACAAGATGCAAATTCATTCCTTTAGCGGAATAAAAACTAAATATATTCCGTTGTTAGTGTAGCATGAATTTCCACAAAGTAACGCCTGATTTTATTCTATAGTTTGGCTCATAGACATCGACACATTTATTCAGGGATTTGGATTATTACCTGTCTTTTACCACTGAACCCTTCGTCCCAAAATGGCACAAATGATTTGTCCTTATTGAAATAAAAAAAAAAATACCCAAAATGTTTATTTTTGTTTCTGTGTCGTCGGCCGCATACTTTGTTGTATACTCCAAACTGTTAAATCTAATAAGTAGGTACATCTAGTTGTTACAAGTAGGTAATTATGTTACCAATGCTGTTTTCAGGTCTGTTGTTTTCTTTATTTCTCTGAGGCCGGATGGGGTAAAAGCTAATATTATAATTTTAGTCTAAGCCTACAAGAATGTCGCGGAGAACCTAACGGGTTACCGGGGCACCGGCTCGAAGCGCAGGAGTAGGAACGGAATGCACTGCACCCAGACGGGAGCAGCCATTCGATGATATTCCCTCCTTAAAAAAATATGGTTCGTACGGGTCACCCTACCTGCCAATAGGTAAGCGAACGACAAAGTACTTATGTACCTTGGTAGGTGTTCAAACATGAACATGCCATGTCAGCGAGATAACCTTACGTGATAAAGTACTGACCAGAAACATATTAATTCCGGAATACAACTAAGTAAAACATCACGTACTCACGTAAGGATAGAGCGCTGAGATGGTACATTACACGCATAGCACACAATCATAGTGCGGTATGTGTGTACATAGGATAAGTTTAGTATAAAAGATCATGTACCTAATATAAGAAATAAAACAGTCACTAGTTGATTCCGACTTTGACTCACTACCCTTCCTCCACCACTAGGTGGAGGAAGCTCCTCCTCTCGCTGTGGCCAAGACACCTTTAGCCATCGACCGATCTGTCCTGTGAGTCTGCCGACAGGCAGTGAGCAAAACCATCACCACCATACCCCATTCCTACCCACATTCCGTCTGCCATCACAGGTCTCAGGTGGCAGATATCCAGCACCTATCTATATAAGTATATATAAATACGTATGGTAGGGCTAGGGTCTTGGGACTGTAGGGCTAGGCCAGTAGGCGCGTACGAAGCGTAGGTCTGTATCACAGCATACCATAGTATACCACGATTGTACGTGCCTTAGGTTAGGGCCTAGTAGTAGGATAGTGTAGGATAACTTTAGCGTGTAGTCATTAGGATTAGGTAATCCTGTGCAGTAGGATTGTGGCGTAAAGCTACTATCCCGCTGTACAGTAGGTAAATAATGATACAAATTTCATTCTATGAGTTGGGCTCATAAAACAAGAACTATCATCGGTGGGATGCATAACTTTATTAATAAGTAGGTATTTTGTACATATTATCTTCGAACAAGCATTTAGATATTAAAATTATTTAATATATTTAACAGTTAGCTACTAATTTTATCGTATGCCAATCAGATGTAACTATGGCAAATAAGTATAGTGTCGAATGTCGTATCACCGCTAAGCGCTACGCGCTGCGGCCGGAGCTGACCAGGGACGTCATGACGCGTCAGTACGTCAGGCAGTAAGCAGTCTCCTCAGCCAGGACTCGTCGTCGGCGGCGGCGGCGGGCGGGGCGGCGCCCGGCCCCGCTCGCCGCGCCCCCGTCTGCTAGTAGCGCAGGCAGTGGTCATGGTGCAGCCCGTGGTGCAGGGGCGCCGCGTTCTCCTTGTCGCGGGTGTAGTGGGGCGCGGGAGGCGCCGGCGCTGCTGCAAATTCTGGCGCCAGAACGGGCGGTTCGTACTCGTCGCCCGATCCGTCGGACGCTTCCAGGTAGCCGAAGAGACGAGCCGCACCCGCAGCGCGCGCCTCCCGCCGCCGCCCCGCGCCACTCACGACTCCCGCGCCCCCGGCCGTCGGATCCGGTGTAGCCGCGCCCCCGGCACCCCCGGCCCCGCCCGCGCGCCCAACTCCGGATGGAACCTTCAGATTACGACTCTCGATGTGACTGTAAGAAGAAATAACGATTAGTGTTCGGTCAGTATGCGGTGATACTCCGCACTGCGGCGGAGGACACGGCAGGTACTGACTGGGCGTCGCGCAGGTGGTGCGCCAGCTGGTGCTGGTCGTCGGCCAGGAAGGGACACTTGGCGCACGCCTTCTTGTTGTGCACCTTGTGCACGTGCGTGGCGAGGCGCTCGGCGCGCGCCGCCTTGTACTCGCACAGCGCGCACGCGAACGGCTTGAGGTGCGTGTTCAGGTGCCGCTTCAGGCACCAGTTGTCCACTCCCGACCACGCGCAGTAGCAGCACGCGTAGCGCCGCTCGCCCTGTAACTCAACGCGTCTTAGTATGCTGTTTTACGCTAATCGTGATGGTATAGGTTAGGTACATGCACTGCTACTTTCCGTCGTTTATACATATGCGATAAATGTTATAATTGACGGTCGGACTCAAAATATCCTTAATATATATCTAAATAAATAAATAAGTTGATAAGGATTCACTTCACGAATACATAAGCAGGCTGCAGTGCGAAAGAATTGATGGAAAGAATATTGAAAGCTTGCCACCAGCTGCCGATATGAAGACCGCGACCAGTATCACTTGGTTTAGTTTCACTTTGATAAGAGAGTGACTATGGGGAGAAGAAATATCATAGACCTTGCGACGAATGGCGGCCGCAGCCGCGGCTGCAGGCGCAGAAGCGCCGGGCTTATGAAGCGCTGCGCCAGTCTCCGCCTTGCCAAGTGGAGGTCGCTCTATCTTGACGGTGGGCGCCGGCCGGTACTCGGCGGGCGGGGGCGCGGGAGGTGGCGGGGGCGCGGGGGCAGGCACCGGAGCCGCGGCGGGTGGTGGTTCCCCTGCCGGCTTGCCGTAGTAATGCAACGCTGGCGGTGCTGTGCTCGGCTTCACGATCGAAGATGAGCGGCGGATTCTGTTCAAGTCATATGGCTGGTCACGATGCATGCGTAGGAAGTGTTTTTTGACATGATCGGCTCTATTGAACTGCTTCTGGCACAAGTAACAGTGGAATGGCTTCTCGTCGCGGTGGATGTTCTCGTGGCGAGTAAAAAGGTCGCGCCGGTCAGTAGCGTACGGACAGGCGCCGCACACGTACCGCTTGCCTGGCTCCGCTGCGCCAGCGCCCCCGCCGCCCGCCACTTCGCCCACGCCCGCGTCGCCGGTGCTCGGCCGACGCTCGTTGCGCATCGCTTCCACCTGCAGGGAACAGCTGAGTGAGCAGTGTGCGCAGCGGCCGTGACAGTGCGAGTCGCGGTGGCGCGGACCTTGTTCTTGAGGCGCTGCAGGTAGCGCGTGAGGTCGTCGAGCGCAGGGTTGTCGCGCAGCAGGTGGTCGGCGGCCGCGGGGTCGGAGTGGTGGTCGCGCGCCAGGTGCGAGCGCACGCCCCGCGCCCAGCCCGACGCGAAGCCGCAGCCCGCCAGCGGACAGGTGAAGGCGCGCGCCTGCGAGTGCGTGCCCAGCCAGTGCTCGGCCACGCGCGCCAGGAAGCCCACGCACTCGCAGTCGGCGCACTTGAACAGGCGCTGCGCCGGGTTGTAGGACGCGATGCGCGAGTGCGCCCACGCCAGCGGCTCCTCCGCCGCCGTCCACCGGTCCTCGGCGCTCGGGTCGATGCGAGGGCTGAAGTTCGCCTGCAACACAGAGACCTGCCGTTGATGGTCACGTTCAAGTGACGTTACACAAACGTTTTTCAACGTATTCATTGCAAAATGCGCTCAGATTAGGTACTTATTCAATTCTGTTATGTTATCTGGGGTAGTTATTTAGTTAACAGGTTCAGTTGTGCCCTTAACTCGTCGAGTACCGGTTTTATAGACACAATTAAAGAACAATAGGTCGCGGTCACCGGTGACCGCTTGGTGTTTGACAGTTTAATAACTGTAAATAGGAGCCAGGACATTTTAATTTCCTGCAGGGTGCGGCGCGGTGGCTGGCCAGACGGCTTCTAGGTATGTGAAATTATGTGTTTGTAAACGCACCCAAGACACGGGAGAAATCTTAGCGTGGAGCAACACTTTTTTAAATGTTATTTCCACGGGCTTGTTTCGCTACCATGCAACATTAGCAAGTATATAAACAACATTGAGGTGCGTGCCTGCAGTATGCCGGGCGGTGGGAACCCGTTCTGCATGAGCGCGGCCAGTCCCCAGGCCGTGATGTGTTCCTCGGGACGCAGCTCGTCGTCCAGGTCGCGCTCGGCGGCCGGGAATTCGACGCCCACCACGCCCACGCCCACACTGGTCTCCTCGCCGTAGAGCTTCTTGGTGATCTCTTTGAACATGTCCTCGCAGTCCATGGTGAGCGAGGCCACGCTGGCCACGCCGGCGCCGGCCTCCATGGCGCGGTGCCCGCAGCGGCCGCGCTCGTCCGCGGGCGCGCCGCCTGCCTGCCACATGCAGCGGCCGCCGGTCTGCGGCGAGTCCGCTACTGCCGCCTGCGAGGGAGCTCCCGTTACTTGCGACGTCGGTGGTGCGAGCTGTTGCACGAGAACACTGCGGAGGTGGGAGCGATGGCCGACAGCGAGGCAGTTGTCTGTGTGCCATACGGGCTGTGTTTTAGCCTGCATGTTTACTACATTTTCTAATTTTCTTGATAAACTTATATCACGATAGCATATAAATAAATATATGGGTAGGTATATTATAAGGTTCCTATGGTATGAATATGATTATATGTCCATAACAAGATCGGTAATGTATTGTGGTTCCCAGAACATCAATACGTGTTTTCTACCTCTCTCCTTTATTTGTTTACTTGTCTAATTATTTATATGTCTTATCCCACCGTCAATTATTTTTTTTATTATTAGAGCCCTTTTAAATATAGCCTATATTATGTTCTGCGAATTGTAATACATTTATAAACCATGTACTTACAGTAATATACAGGATGTTTGGTGCTTGGGTCGACATACTTTTTTCAGTGTTTTATCTAGCTCATCATTCATGGAGGTCATTAGCTAGGTTTTACTCATAAACGCTTCGTCCCGAATTTCGCGGTTGGTTACATTGATTTTTCTATTGAAATAAAATAATGTACCCAAAATGTATCGTAACTGTAACGTAATCTTATTTTGTGGGAGTCACTTGGCCCATAATACATATTTTTGTTGTATTATCCGAAGTATTTTAAATGTAAACACATCTTTGATAGAAATGTTTTATAAAAAATCTTTACAAGATTCCAAAGTTAATCATTTCATCCAACGTCTTTAAATTGTTCAACTTCTAAATTGATTGTAAAAAACTAAAAGCATTATGAACTCAAGTCTAGTTCTATTTCAAAAAGTTCTTTAGTTCATACCCTTTCTACCAGAATGCTACACGTCACAGAAATTATTCATTTCTAGCTGTTACCCGCGACTGCGTCCGTGTACAATATGATTTTTGTTTTATCTCTTGGGAACATTTAATGGGGTTAAAAAGTATCGTATCACCTAAGTCAGCCCATACCCTGCCTGTACCTATACTAAATTTCATCAAAATCCGTTCAGTAGTTTCAGCGTGATTGACGGACAAACATCCAAACAAAGTTAACATTATTTTATAATATTTTATATTATTTAATTACATTATACACTTTTCTGAAAACAACATCAAATTTAACGGTTTAGCCACTCGTACATACATACATACATACATTACATACATACAGGTCAAACTGAGGACATCTTTTTTTATTTTTGAAGTTACAAACAACAATTTGTGGAAGTACATACATTAATGTTCAATTACCCGATCCGATATACGTCAGTGGTCAAACAAATATTGTTCAATAAAATAAACATTAAGTAAACGTCACACAAAATAATAAGTTTGTATATTTTGTGTACACACTAGGAGTCTAGAAGTTCGGTATGTTAATTTGATTTATTGGTACTTTTTATTATTTTGTTCAGTAAGTTATTTATTTCGATATTTTAATTTTGTATGCATATAAGTAATATTAGTTTGATCACATCACAATTTGTGCTGTTAGAATGTTCGTATTTGTAATGAACAATTATCACTTATTATTAAATACTAGCTTCGCCTGCGTACTTCGTACGCGCAATCCCGTTTTCTCCCGTCCCCATAAGATTTTCAGGTTTTTTTCTGTCATAAGAACCTTCTCCTGACAATGACAAACACATCAAAAATTACATCAGCCAAATCGTTCTAGCCATTCTCCAGTTATGACGTGACAACGGGAAACGGGTTTCATTTTTATATATATTAAATAAATATATATGCATTGGTCAATTTTTAGATACTAAAGTCAAATTTTACACTTGACAGATTGGCTGACATGAGAAATCACGTCTAGTTATTGACATAAGCATTGAGTCGCGGTAATATTACCGTGATTGAGTTAAAACTACATCTCAATGCATTAAGGTATTGTTTCTTGAAGGCAAGATGCTGACAATAGTGAAATCAGACCACTATTTGATGTTATTTAGAGGTCAAATGAAAGTCAGTGTGTACCAAATATCAGATCCTTAACTCGCCAGGAAAGGGGTGAAATTGTAATAACGATGAAATAAATCAAGCAATGAATCTATCAATCACTACATAGTATAAAACAAAGTAGTTATCCGTCTGTCTGTCCTGTGTATGTATGTTTAGATCTCGTAAACAACTCTAAGCAATGGATTTTGATGCGGTTTTTTTAATAGATAGAGTGACTCTTAAGGAAGATTAATATTTATTTATTTATTTATTTATTTATTTATTTATTTATTTATTTATTTATTGAATGGTGAATCAACAGCTAAATAATCTATTTATTTATTTATTGAATGGTGAATCAACAGCTAATATCTTTAAATAATCTTGAACTGTACCTACAAATCTATAATGAGTCCAGACATAACTTGAGCCTGAGACATTTTCAAATATAAATGTTCCAGCTTGTTTACTCGCATATATCAACAACTTTTGGTAGAAACATGAGAAGTCGGTTCCGGTTCGGGCAATGCGTGGCGACAACGCCGTATGTACGGACGCCGGGCGCCGGGCGCCGGGTGCCGGGTGCCGGGTGCCGGGCGCCGGGCGCACGGCGAGGGACAGTCGGTGGCACGAGGTGTCAGCCCCATGGCCCTCCCTCTCCTGCAGCTGCACCGCGCCCCCGCGCCCCGCACCCCCGCCGGCCGCACTCCCCGCGGTCACCGGCTGGCCGCTGAACCACTTGGACTGCGAACCGGTCCCTTCTGTTGATGGACCCTAACATGTACTTACCTAACTGAGCAGTGAAACTACTGAGCCACGGAACCTAACTGACATTCTAATACTTAACATGCGGGGGGTGCGAGTACAAGGGCGGGGGGCGGGTGGGGGGGCGCGTGTTGTGCTCGTGCCACAGGTACAGGCTGCCCGCTCCCACTGAATGAACCTGTGCGACCGTCCCACCTACACAGTGCTGGCATGCCGCAGCTCGCCACCGAGCGGTCAACTAATATGATGTAAGTCGTGCCTTTAATATTTAGCCTTTGTTAATTTGGGGTCAAGAGTCGGTACGTTCCGATAGAGTGCAAGCTAAAGTTATCGATCCGACGTCGCAGTCGGCGCGATGGTAGGAGTAGCGCGGGCGCGTATCGATCGCGAGGGGGCGTCAGGCGCGGCTCAGGTGCGGGCGCCGCGCGCGTCGGCGCGGGGGCGACACCTCAGCACCGCGCGGCGCGCCGGCCGCGACTGACGCCACCCGCCGCCCATCGATCGCCCGGCGCCCCCCGGCGCCCCCGGCCCGGCGCCCCCCGGCGGCCGCCGCCCGCCGCCCGCCGCTTCCATTCACTGCCCGGTATTGACCCGGGCCGCGCTCGCTGTCTGCCTCCGCCTACGTGCCCGCCGCCCGCCGCCGCCTGCTCGCGCTGCTCCGTGAGCCGCTCTATGTAAACCTACTGCCTCATTTATGTTTCCAGGAACTATTACGTGCCTACGGTTTGTTACAAAATGATACAAACGGAGAATACAATCAAATTACAAGTTGAGCTGTAGGTACCTTCGTAAATACAAATGAACATCGGCAATGATTATATTATTGGAATAGTATAGGTAATTAGGTATGCTTCGACTCGACTCAGCATGTACCTAAGTACGTGAGTCAGCGGATGCCGTGTGCTGGCACGCGATGGCGGTTGGTCTAGTCAGTCAGCCACGCAGCATACACCGCGCGGCGCTGCGTGTTGTTCCGGAAACAAAGAGGCTTCGTCATTAATCGTTGCGGCGTGGGGCGGGCGGGGGCAAAGAGGCGCGGGGGCGCGGGGGCGCGGGGGCGCAGGGCGGCGGGGTCACACCGGCGTGTCCCACACCATAACTAATTACAGATACCTTGAACAACCCGGTTCTGTCTGTACCAGACTCCGGGGCCGCTTAGAGACTATTCGAATGATTAAAAAATTAAACACGTCTAGTGAAAAATGCACCCTTTCAACAGGTTGGTGAACAAAATTGGTCAATAAACCCTTCGTGTAAGTAGTGGACGATATACAGCGCAGTATGTGGTGGGTACCCTTAGGTACCAATTTATATACTTACTCGTATAGTAAGACAACTCGTCGTTTTCCAAATGCATTTTTGAATACTTTTTGCATAAAAAGGAGATAGCCAAAATTCAGTTAATTAGGTACTCATTAGACACACCTTCGTGGTGACAACAAACAGTGTGAAAAATGTGTCCGTGTGTGTAATTGTGTACACGAGATGACACAACAAATAAATAAATGTGCAAGTACTCACTATATGTTTCATGATCGTCAAGCGTTGAATCGATACCGCGCGCCGGCAGCGATGCCTCGGTGCTACGACCTACGAGCTACGCGGTAGCAGCGCGTAGCGAGCGCCAGCGCGGTCTGTGTAGCCTTGTAGCGGCGGACTGTGGCGCCGCGCGTAGTCGCTTGCTACGCTGTAGCCTTAGAGGGCCGTGCGTCGTAGGTCGTAGCATAGCACTCGCTCGGTGCGGGCTCTCTGCGCTAACATGGGGTGTCAATACTTCAATAGCCACACAACTTTACTTCGTGGAATCAATATGTCGTAATATACTGATTATCTGTAGGAAACCTAATTAGCTGCCTCCCTTAAAACAATATAATGAAACAATGAAGTGTAGGTAACTGTTGCTAAGTCCTGATCGATTTACTTGATTACGTACGTACAGTGTGCAATACTGTACCTGAGTGATGTGATGCATCGAAAGACTTGGACTCTGTGATGAAAGGTCGACAGACGCTCGAACGGCTCACCTTGCTGCTGCTGCTTACAGCCTGGCAGTTAGCACATACGTAGACAAGGGTTCGCTTCCTGCGCAAGTGGCACTTATCTAGATGTTATCTGACAGCGACGGAGGCAACTGACCCCCCGCTGAACCTGCGCTGTTACCGCGCGTAAACCTGCGCTCTGGTCGACACTTACGATAACGACATGTGAATGTCTGATGTACGACATTTTCCGCGTAAGTTCGTGTATCAGTATTATCGCCGTAGAGTTACCTAATGATCGTGTTCACCGAGTGCATCATTGTGTAGCATTCATTCATAGAGCTGACGAGGGATAGAACCGATCACGTTCTGCGCGGAGAGCGAGGAGCCGGCGGCGGGCGGCGGGGGCGCGGGCGCGGGCGGGTTGCGGGGCGGGCGGCTGACCGCATTAGTAGAGCGCAGCGCGCAGGCGCGGCGGCGCGCGGCGCGGCGGGAGCGAGGCGCGCGGCGCCGGGCGTCAGTCGCGCCCCGACCGCGGCCCGTCCCCGTGCAGCCCTCGCCTCGCCCGCCGCCGGCCGCGCGCTCGCCGCATGCCGCGCCCGCGCCCGCGCGCCTAGCGCCGGCGTGGCCGGCGAGCCGCCCGCCGCAGGTGAGCCGCGCCATCGATCCGCTACCGCCGCGCCGCGCATGCCCGCGCTCACGTGCTGCGCCCTGCCGCGCGGCGGTATCGAGCGGCCG